TCACTCATGTTATTGATCATAATTTATCATTGGTTTCTTACTACAATGCAATGCAATTGCCATACCATGCCACGCCATGCCACACCACACAATACAATACATTTTTGTAGATTAGTCATCTGACAAGATAAAAAATACAAAAATAGTAGAGAAAAACCAATAGGATATATTCATAATTAACTCTGGATAAACCATAACTGGCTGTGTGTGTGCACTCATTACATATCATGGTTGACAAATCCTACCTTGGTTGGCATAACATAAATCAAACTACATTATAACTGAGCCATAGGTATATGGCACAAATAAAAAGATGCCAAGGTAACATCATGCAAAGGACACGGATTTTGGAATATGCATAATTTGTGGAATGTTATCCTTGTGCTTGTTAGTCACCCATCCCCTACCTTTTCTTCTATAGATCCTATAGAGTAAGTATAAAGTATAAGATTTCATTTTATTTGTTAAATTTCTATTCTGCCTTTATCTATTGCAACTCAAGGCAGTGTGTGTATTGCTCCTGCCTCCTCTTTTCCCCATAATAATTACCATGTGGATTAGGATAAGAAACAGTGATATTATTCTTAAAAGCAGTACCACTGACTGCCCCTGAAGGCCAACTTTGACCGATTAATGGACTTCCTTGTGTACATGGTTGGTTCTGTAAGAACAGGCTATGGAACAAGTGAGCCAGGAGGCAATCCAGCAAAGCACTGCCTGTTTTCTTCTGATTGGCTCAAAGTCACCCAGCCAGCTTCCATGCCTAAAATTAGAGCTCACAACCTAATCCAGCAAGTTAATTGCTACTTCACACGGGCTCTCAACAATATACTGTATATCTTGTCAATTATATACTACTGCCCCTTAATTTATAATGAATTATATAGCTACAAATCCTTTCATGGTTAAGAAAGTTAATTTCAGTAGAAATATCTACTTAAGATTGCATACTTCGTAAGGAGTATCTTCTATTGAAATTAATTGGGCAAATTTTACCTACATAATGTCCCTTTTTGATAGTTTGTTTTAATATTATCCTATCTAAACTTTTAAGGGAAGCTGGTCTTTGTCATGTTCCATGTTCTGCTACAAAAGTATAAGAGACATTTTTAGAATTAAAAGTGTTCAACAACCTAAATATAGCAGAACAAAGATAAGTGGCTTTAACTGCCTCTGTGATTAGTCCACTCCTACTCCCTGGATTAATCCGAGGACCAGTTGCTAAACTATAACTGTTGAATATAAATAAAACCAATAGATTTCCCGTGGGCATTGAGGAAGGGGCTAAATTCATTTTTAAATCTATTTCTTGATTTTGGAACAGGAAATTGACAGAATAGACACAGAGAAAAAGGTAAGGTCTGATTTCATATACAATAGATATTACTTTGAGGGCTGCTATAATCATGCTTCTAAAATAAGTATAGCTTTTCTTTTTATTTAAAATATTTATCTGAATCACTACCTTGTTCCTCTTTTGTTCTTTCACAAAGGTTTCCAATAAACAGTTTTTTTGTCAAAATAAAAGTTTAGTATCCAGATTTACAATCCTTTCCCAGCCCCCTGATCTCTCTTTTTTTAAAAAAGAATACTCTACAGCAGAGTTTTTCAGTCTCAAGCACTTTTAGATGTGTGGACAACTCCTGGAAATCTCCAACCAGCATTCTGAAGTTAGTGAAGTTGAGAAATATCGCTTTATACTATCATGTGATGTAATAAATGCAAAGTGATTCATTCATCCAGGCTGATATTCTTTTATCACCATACATACTCAATATGAGAATAGGTATCTGTGAACCATCATATCCCTTCCAAGCGTGAGTTAAACAGGATTGTCTCCGTTGCGATGAGAAATTTAATGAAAAAGAAAACGGTCACAAAATATCTGTCTGGATCAGTTTCTAGAATCCTATTAATTTAAATAAGATGATAACTAAAGAAAGTGATACAATAGCTTTCCTCAGCCTGGTTTCTTCCATAGGTGCCCCTATTCATGCTCAATTCTATGTGAACAATGTAGGATGATCCTATACATCTACAGCTGGAGATCTACAGGACAGTGCTGTAAGAAAAGGCCATCAGGCAGGCACAAAATGAAGGCACATCAACAAATTTAGAGGAATGTGAATTGGGGAGAAGTTAAAAAAATAAACATTAGAAACAATCCAGTGAAGACAGTGATCCAGGTTTCCAAGGCCAAAATTGCTGTCTCATTGCAAGCAGCAACTAAGGCCTTAATCAACCAATTTGTACCTGAAACCTGATAGGGTCCATCAGGTATCTGGGGTGGACCTGTGGGGAAGAAATAACTCCAAAGGGATCCAAGAATGATTGGTCCATGGCAAAGAACTAATAGGAATAGCCACCAATTCCTAATCACACCACTACTGCCAAGAGATGTTTGTTTGTTTGTTTAATTTATTTAGCTAGCAGAGACCAGGTCTAATGTGTGGCCTCCACTGTGAGTCAGGCCAGAGATAATTTGAGTCAGGTCCATGGTTGTCATGGTGCCATGAACTCTCAAGCTGCCTCTGAGTCTATGCTCAAGGATGATTGAAATCCCCCAGGACTAAATCCCTAGGGTACTCCATCTCCAAATTGGCCATGGATTCCAGCAGCTTTGATAGGAAGGTTGACTTGCATCAAAGAAGTTCTGGCTTTTGTAGCCCAACTTCATAAACAATGCTTCATACCTGGCAATCTGTCCCTGAAAGCTACTAAGGTTTCTTGGATCATGATTGCTACATCTTCAACTTGAGCCTGGCTCATGGCTGATGCCATGCATGATACCCAGCTGGGCACATATGCGAGAGAGGAACATCTTCTTCCCTTCTAGGCCGAGCCAGGTTTTGCTAATCTAGACAAGGTCAGCCCTCTGATTCACAGTTAAATTGTGAATCAAGTTTTATTGAAGGCTGACTGTGAATTTAAACAGCAGAGCTGAAAACCAGGATCTCTGGAATGCTGATGGCCAGCCCTTGGGGTAGTCCATAGGGGACTGGACACATCAAGGTCACCTTCTTTGAAAACCGCTCAGTCTCCTGCCATACCTCCCTCTACCTGTCACTACTAATAACCTGACTACTGCTTCTCCTCCAGCCATCCAGTCTCCCGCTCCAACCAAACTACACACCATATCATCAGAAAGGTACACACCGGCCACAGACATGATTCTGCCTTACACTCAACACTTCTTTATCTAGGCACTAGATAACCCACTCACCCAGCCCACAACCATGCAGCCACCCACTGTCTCTCACTCAGGTGGAGGAAACAAGCCAGTGGAGAAAAGTTACCCACAACCTACTGTTACAGTCCCTGCTCTCACCCAAGAGGAAACAGAAGCATCCCAAGGTAACAACCTCCCTCCAATCATAATGTTGCCTAGGATTTGCGCAATCCCTTCATTTTACATTTTCAGGAAATATTCTTAGAGTTTACATAGGAATCTTAAGTGATATGAGAGCCTAAAGAGTCATAGGCCAAATGTCTGGAATTATATTGCACAGTCTGATTTTTTTTTTTAAGTTTTCCCTCTGTTCACCAAAAGCAACTATATTTCTGTCTCCTTGACATCTTATAGAATACAATCAAAGTAAGTGAATACAGAGAGAAAGTTGGGCATATATGTGAAAGAAAAATACATGGAGTGGGGAGAGAGAATGGAGAGAAAAGAATCAGAAAGTTTTATGCGTCTCTGTGTTGTGGATGTTTGCAGCAAGGTTCATTGTCTTCCTTTCTTAGGCTATTTTAATGGCCACCTGATTTTTCTGCTTGTGAGCTATGGATGGGCCTTTGATTTCTCTGCTTTTTGATCTTTCTTTGATCTTCATACTAGGTCTGGTGGGACAATATTTCAAAATTGCTTTGAAGTAGAAGACTAACCTCTGATCATCATCAGTAACAAGATAACTGTAGAAGTTGACAGGAACCTTGTTCTTGAATAGAAGACCTACAGGAAATATATATGGTTGTATACTGGATTGGGAAGCTGGAAACTGTACCAGAAGGAGACAATGGCAAGTCACATTTGTAAGAACTTGAAGAAAATTGCATAGATGTAAACCTGAAGTCACCAAGGATCAAACTTGAAGGATGAATTATCTAAGCTATACTTTGTGCACAAGTACACCTTATTGCAAATATACTTAGACAATTTATTAAAAAAATAGTTTCATCATTTTACTGGCCAGATGCTTTTAATGTCAAGGCCAGTTGAACGTTAACTGGCAGCTGAATCTCAGAAGCAGGAACATTTGCTAGCATATGAACATTGCAGACTTTGTGGCTTCATTTAGTGCTCTAGAGTTCATGCACAATGCAGGAGGGCAGCATGAAAAACTCCTTAATATTTGATTGATTATGTGCCATCCAGTCATTTTTGACTCCTAGCAACCAGATAGATAGATTTTCTCCATGACGATTTATCCTTAGCCTGTTTTTTTAGGTCTCCTTGTGTATACTATCCATGGCATAACTATGCATGGTTCAGAGATGGAAGATTTTTGTTTGTTTGTCCAAACCTATATGCAACTAATGCTAACAATTACATTTCCTTCCACTACAAATATACCAATCAGTGCCTCTTCCCTCTTTTTTTGCCTAATATTTCGCTACTGAAAAAGAGCCATTTTTTTTTTGCCCTGGATTTAGTCTATCAAAGATCAACCAGTGAGTGCTGAAAACAGAGAAACCAAGGTATGAATGACCTATCTTACAGAAAATGCCACTGCTCCAGTTACAGGTCTCTGATTCCTTCTCCTCTCTTGTTCACTCAAGTTGCCTGTTGTTCTTCTTCAAGGCTAAAGTCCAAGGAAGCTCTTAGCTAATCACTTGACAAAGCGCTCTTTGTGATGGGTTCCTCTGGGGAAATCTGACTCTCTTCTCCCATCTGTAGAAGCTGACAAGGATCTGGAGTGCAGGAGCATAGATCTCCATTTCTTTTCTGTGGGCTTTGCAAATGCGCAGCAAGAATAATTTCTGCTGCAGGCCTCTCAGAAATGTACCTCTTGTTTATAGCTGCTCTTTTCTTTTCTGTTCATGGGGCTGATACCTCCAAGATTTGCCCCCATCTATGCTTCTGCTATGAATCCTCCAGTTTTGTGGACTGTCACAATCGGCACTTGGCCCGTGTTCCTCATGGCATCCCTCACAATACATGGATGCTGAACTTGAGACACAACAACTTGAGTGGGCTAGAGGTAGGCTGCTTTGATTCTTTGTGGTCTTTGAAGATCCTTCTTCTGTCCCACAATTCCATTGCAAAGATTTGGCCCCAAACATTCACGTCCCTGAGTTTCCTGGAGAAGATGGACCTCAGCTACAACCTGCTTGCTCGCTTACCACATGACTTCTCAAATGAATTGACTTCCCTGAAGGATCTTAAGGTGGCCCACAACTGTTTGATAGCTTTGGGTTTTGAAAGCTTGCAGTATATGGAGAACTTGGAGAAACTGGACTTGAGCCACAATCTGGTCTCTTCAATTGAGAAAGGAACTTTCCGAGGACTCTCCAGGCTCCGACATCTCTACCTTCAGGCTAACAGGCTTACAGTTATCTATAATGGCTTCTTTTTTATGCTCCAGAACCTGGAAGTTCTTTTGCTTAACAGGAACAACATCAGCTTCATTGAAGTGGAGGCTTTCACTTCATTGCACAACATGAATTTTCTGGCTTTAACTGGCAACCGGCTCATCCACCTAAAATTTAAGACTTTCCTGAATATCCAAACAGTCAGCACCCACATCCAGCTGGCTGGTAACCCATGGGCCTGCGACTGTGATCTCCAAAGGGTTTTTGGCAAAATCACGAGTGTTCGGCATCTTCATGTGGATGATTATGAGAACCTCACCTGTTTCAGTCCTTGGCAATTAGCTGGCTTGCCTCTTGTTTCTGTGGACAGTCAGCTGTGCATGGCAGAGACAGCCACTGTCTTGGTGATCACAGTTACTGTCCTGGTGACAGTGATTGCTGCCATTGTGATGGCAGAAAGGAACAGGAAGAAGAATCAGGAGAAGAACTGGAATGAATTGGAAGGGCCTTTTGACTCGCAGGAGAAATAAGACAAGAGACATGAAATAGTCTTTTGGTGCTTTTCAAATGTTGTTTTACTATGATTCTTTAAACCTGATCTAAAATTCCAAATTCTGCTTGTTTTTTTTTTTTTTAGTCAACTTGGCTAAAATTCCAGATGTGCTGGAATTGCTTGTGGCTCCATGGGCATCCACAGCAGGGGCAAGTGATGTCACGTGCATGACGACATCATTGCACAAATGATGCAAATTATGTAATTTGCATTCAGTCATGTTGTGCCTATTACATATATTCTTTGTGCTGTCTGTTTATGTATTTATTTGATTTATATTCTGCCTTTCATTCAAGGTGACAAAGATAGTGCTTCCTCCTCCTATTCCCCCCCCCAACAATAATCCTATGCGCTAGATCGAACTGAATGAGCAAAGATACCTTATAGGGAATGGCTTTGAAGGGCAGGAGGAAGACCTTCCACCAAGGCAGCAATCAGGCAAATGGGGCTCGAGTTCATCCCCAAAAACTAATTTGAGAAAATGTCTCATAGAAGCTGTTTTCTGATTTACACCAAGATAAATGAGCGAGAGGGAAGTGGGAGTTGCAAGTTTCTTGCTATTGCTGTTCCAATGAACGTATGGAGCACTGGTTTCTTGGTCTGCTCTACCTTATAGGCTCTCACCTAGAGATCTTCCCTGATGAAGGTGGAGTAGAGCCTGGGTTTGTTTTCTTCCGTACCTTCCCTAGTATATCACCCTGGTTTCTCTGTGATGAGAATTGTGCTAATAAGAGCATATCATGTCATCATGGCTTGTACTGGATACTTGGTTTTGGATTCAGTGAATGAATGAATGAATGAAGACATCAAACGTTTGTTAATTATGGCACTACCTGGAGAGAGGGAGCCTTACAACAATTATTTATGCACTGGCAACCTCTGGTGGAGAATTCAGCAATAATGTAAATATATGGAGCTGCTTTGAGAATGCTCCCAGAATTTCAGTCAGCTACAGACTGTGTTGGGGAAGGGATAGGTATTATCAACCATTTTTTAGTCTGTAGTCGCTTGACATTAATGCTCTGTAATCAGCACTGCTGGCCCCTGCCACATTTTTTGCCACAAGCCAAACTCAAAAGTGCTGCTTAGCGTTCAAAGGCTGAAGATGTTTTCCTACATGGGCCTTTCTGCTATTATGCAAGACCTCCGGAAGTTGCCCATGATTTAATGATTCATTTAATGATATGAAATGAGCGGCACCTAGTGGGGAAGGAGAGTCAGTGCAAGGTTAACGTTTTGGACTAGGAATAGAGACACTCAGTTTCTAATCTTCCTTCAGCCACTAAGGCCCCTTCTAGATGACTTTGGCCGACTCACTCTCAGCCGCCTGACTTCACAGGATTGTTGTAGTAGTAAGAAATAGGAAGAAATGCTATGTGTGTTGCCTTGAGGTCTTGAATGACTAGTATCCTGATAGTTCTCATGATCAACTTCTTTTCTCTGAATCAGTTATTCCTGGTGTATATTGGAATATTAGCCTGACATATGCAAAGAGCAACAAATTGGGAAATTTTGAGTGGGAGCTAATAATATATTATTATTTAGCTCCTGATATGAACACACCAGCACCTATTTGATCTTCCCTAATGTAGGGTGGGCTGGGAAGTCCAGTGTCACCTCACAAACTGGGAACCAACTATGGTCTTGCTGGACCCTTGTCTAAAGTGGACAGTACTCACAAAAATTATAATATAGATGACTCAGGGCTGTTCTTGTACCTACCATGGCAACAGGGTCTAAATCTTCATTGCTAAGCTTCCCAATCTGTTTCACAGGACCTCAAGGGAGCCCCTGTTTTCCTTCCCCCATCTCAGTGATGAAATGTAAAATTTGTTACTACCAGTTCTGTGGGTGTGACTTGGTGGAGGGTAATGTGACTGGGTGGGCGTGGCCAACTTTTTTTTTTTTTACTTTTAAAAGCATTTTTTCTACAACCTCTTCAGCCGAAGAGGTTGTAGAAAAAATGCTTTTAAAAGTGAAAAAAAAAAAGCCTCTGATGATTGCGTGGTTCAGCTGGGCATGGGGTGGGCAGGGATTTGGCCACCTACCGCCATCGCTACCCAATCCGGTCTGAATCGGGAGCATTTCACCCCTGCCCCATCTCTTCCATCACTGCAAACCACTGGCCATACATTGAAGCAGATTTTTTTCTCCCCCAGTGATTCACTGATCACAAGCACTTTGTTTCTGGAAACCTCAATTTTCATTTCCAATCGTCTTTTGGAGGAAATTGGAAACTGAAGAGGCACTCAAACTCTCTCTGCCGATAATTGGAATTTGTAGATATACAAAAAGGTCAGTGACCCTAGTTTCTGAAATTAAATGCAGAATATATTCTAAATTGTGCTAGCTAAAAGATGTACTTCAGGGATCTGGTGACAAAAACCGGAAGGGCTTGATTAATGGGATGGCAAACAGTGGCCAAGTTACAGTAGAAACATTTCTACAGGTTTTCTTATTAAAACCAACATTCTAAAATATTGTTTTTTGTTTAGTTCAATGTTTTTCAAACTTGGCAACTTTAAAATGTATGGGCTTCAACTCTCAGAATTCCCCAAACATCTTTGCTAGCCAAGGAATTCTGGGAGTTGAAGCCCATCTTAAAAGTTGCTATGTTTGAAAAACTCTTTAGTGTGTTGAGTAAACCCGACTATTTGTGAATTCTTAATTATGAAGTAAACCCTAGTAAAATTACCATGGCTTAGCATATTATGAGAACCCAGCCAATGTCTATGAAATCTGGACAAAACTGCAGAACAAGCCCCGATCCACAGAGTCTTAGCTAGCATGCGTGTGCCTCTTCCAAGGCTTGCCGAGAAAGAAATCTGGGTAGAGGCTTTGCTTATTGATATGTGTAGAAACTCTACGAAGGTGTAGATTGTTTTATTACAAAAAGTAGGTAATCTGTGTCCTGATGTTCTTTTAAGAGTGCACCACTGAAAAAAGGTAGCAGGTCATGGAAAGTGAGTGGTTTTGGGAAGCAAAAAGAAATAGTGGCTACATTTAATGAACAACTAACATAGTTAGAAGGGCTCTTTTCCCAGTCACGTTTACCCTACCCACCAGAGCAGAGAGGGAGGAAATGCTATGGGTCTCGTCTCCTAAGGAGGTACATCTAGCAGGGCCAAAAAGAAGGGCCCTTTCCATGGTGCCTCCCTCCCTGTGGCTCTCTCTCCGTGGAGCATCATGTCCCCCACTTTGTCGTTCTTTTGCAAGGGCGTGAAGATCTCCTGGTTTTGCCAATAGGCCTGGGGAACCCAGAGTGGGATGGAGTCCATCAAGTGGCTTATTTGATTGACTGATTGTTGTGGGAAATCGAGGGTTATTGCTTTTTATTGTTTTTATATTAGGTTTTCAGCTTCGTAAGCCATCAAGAGTCATTAAGAGTGGGTTGGGCAGCCATATAATTTTTAAAAAGTAAATAAATATATGAAAGAAAAAGCAAAAAAAAATAAAAATCCCCCACTCCTTCTCTTGCTGCCTCCAGATACCAGGAAATGAAATGATGGAAAAATACAGCCAGGTAAAAGGTTGTTTGCATCTCTTTAATGGGTGCCTGCCTGTTTGCCTGGCAGAAAAGCTGACACTCCACCTCCTATTTTTTTACAGTGACCCTTTTGGAATCTGCTTTACAGGTGGTCTTTGACTTACAATCATTCGTTTAGTGACCGTTGGAAGTTACAATCTCATTGAAAAAAGTGACTTAATGACTTTTTCACACTTAAAACCTTTGCAGCATTCCCATCAGTGATGGGTTTCAAAAATTTTTACTACTGGTTCTGTGGGTGTGGCTTGGTGGCTGTGGCATGGTGGGCGTGGCAGGGGAAGGATACTGTAAAATCTCCATTTCCACGCCCCTCCAGGGGAAGGTTACTGCAAAATCCCCATTTCCTCCCGATCAGCTGGGACTTGGGAGGCAGAGAATAGATGGGGGCGGGGCCAGTCAGAATTTTTAATACCGGTTCTCTGAACTACTTAAAATTTCCGCTACCGGTTCTCCAGAACTGGTCAGAACCTGCTGAAACCCACCTCTGATTCCGATGGTCACGTGATTAAAATTCAGACACTTGGCAACTGGTATGTATGACAATTGCAGTGTCCTGGGGGTCGTGGGATCTCCTTTTGTGACTTTCTGACAAGCAAAGTCAATGGGGAAGCTAAATTCACTTAACAAACATGTTACTAATGCAACTGCAGTGATTCACTTAACAACTATGGCGAAAAATATTGTAAAATGGGGTGAAGCTCACTTAACAACTGTCTTTCTTAGTAACGGGAATTTTGGGCTCAGTTGGGATTGTAATTCGAGGCCAACCTGCATAAAGATTAAAAAGGAGATTTGAATCTCCATTTCTTCCTTGAGCCATTGCCCTGTTTATTATTTATGGTTTATTGCCTTGGTGACTAGATGAGTTACACATTCTGATCTCCACACATTACATCTTCCCAGACTATCAATCCCCATCCTGATTACCCGTGTGGCCTCTCTCTTTTTCAGTTTGTGTTAAGCTCCGAGTTCTTCTTCTGGAGAGCTATGGGGATTTGATTTAATATTGCTTAGTTGCAGAAATTGATGAAGTTGGCCTAAATGGTAAAATTGACCACCTTGATTAAAGAAAAGAACATAAGCACTTTTGTTTCCACATGGAGACAGCTTCTGAACTTCGTGCTTGATGTGGACAAGAACAAAACTTTGACTTTGGGTTTTACCAATTAGACTGATTGATCTTAATAGAAATCACTTGTTTATACTATTAGGAAAAGGTAAAAAGTTAATACCTTATTTTACTGCAACAGAGAGAGTCGGAAGTCAATGCTTCTTTTTCTTTTTTTTCCTTATCTTTCCTCCTTCCCCTTCCCCTCCCCACTCCTTTCCTATTTACTTTGTACTTTGTATTTTATATTACAGTATAACTCAATAAAAAATGTTAACTGAACTTAATATTGTTTAAAAGCAGGGAGTATGTCTTGTGGAATACATCTATGGCAGTGATGGTGAACCTATGGCACACATGCCAGAGGTGGCACACAGTGCCTTCTCTGTGGGCACAGGAACCGTTGCCCCAGCTCAGCTCCGCTGTGCATGTGTGCACACCTCTCACTGGCCAGTTGGTTTTTGGGTCTCTGCCACGCATGCACAGGGGTAGGGCGCATGTGGGAAGCGGAGCACGCATGCACGGGGAGCAGGGCACTTGGTAGTACAGGGGTTTAAGGCACCCTGTTATTAAACTGGTTATTAAGACCAGCTGCCTGCAATTACTGCAGGGTTCGAATCTCGCCAAGGCTCAAGGTTGACTCAGCCTTCCATCCTTTCTAAGGTAGGTGAAATGAGGACCCAGTTTGTGGGGGCAATAAGCTGACTTTGTA